TACCCGCAGGCCCAGGAGCTCCAGTACTCCCAGTACGAGCACCTCCGGGACCCGCGGCACCAGCACCCTCAGTAGCCGAAGAACCTCCAGCTCCAGCAGCACGCCTCCAGCGCCGGGCAAACCACTCGCGCAGCTCCTATGGAGAGAGTGGCTCCCGCCGAGACGAAGCACCCGGAGAACCTCCAGGCTCAGCACCGCCAGACGCCACACAAGCAGGCCCAGCTCCCTCAGGCTCCGCACCCCCAGGCTCAGCACCTCCAGGCGTAGCACCCCCAGGCTCAGCACCCCCAGGCTCAGCACCCCCAGTAGTAGCACCCCCAGGCTCAGCACCCCCAGGCTCAGCACCCCCAGTAGTAGCACCCTCACGCTCAGCACCCCCAGGCGTAGCACCCACACGCTCAGCACCCCCAGAGTCAGCACCCCCAGGCTCAGCACCCTCAGCAGCACCAGAGTCACCAGTAACCTCGACAGGCTCGACTGCGTCTACCTGGGACACACCTGAAGGGGCAGGACCCTGAGGGGGGAGGGGGTCTACCGGGGGGGGACCTGGCACAAGGAAGAGCGGTGGCAGGGGGAAGGACGGAGTGCGGTAGGGGAAGAGGCGGTAGTAGGGGACCGACTCGTCAAACGTGACGTCCTGGGAGGACAGAACACGGCGAGAGGTGGGGTGGTAGAACTGCCACCCTGGCGCGTCAGGGGGGAAGCCAAGGAAGACGCAAGGAGCAGCACGAGGGGACAGCTTGTCCGCAGACAAGTCGCGGACAAACGCCCGAGATCCCCAGACACGGAACGCAGACGCATCGCCAACCTTCCCCGTCCACAGCAAAGCTGGGGAGGTCTCCGGCATGGAGACCCTGGGGTGAAGGTTGATCTGATGCGCCGCGTACCGAACCGCAAACGGCCACAGAAAATGGGGGGCAGCCGCATGCATCATGGACGTACGGGCGACGTCCATGACCATGCCAATGCGGCGCTCAGCAATCCCATGTTGCTGTGGAGAGTCCGGAAGCGTGAAGGTCTGGCGGATGCCTCGTGCATGACAGTAGGCTCGCAGAAGGCCAGAGGAGAACTCTCCACCTCTGTCAGAGTGCAGACGCAGAACAGGAAAGTCCGAGCCGAAGCTCTGCCTGAGCTGGAGACGAGCTGCGCGGATCCAGTCGATCAACACCTCAGTGACATCACCCTTGCTGCGCAAGGGGAAGACTGTGGTGTAACGCGAGTAGTCGTCAACCACCAGCAGGAAGTAGCGCTCGTGACCCTGTCCACGGACGCGGGCCGGGCCCCACACGTCCATGTGAAGCGTCTGCAGTGGGGCCTCTGTCGGAGGAAACTGGGAGGAGTGAGGGGCAGCCCGCTGCCGCCCCTCGACACAGGGGACGCAGGTAGGGCCAGGCCCCGGAGGAAGGGGAGGGAGGGACCGGGGAAGACCAGAGACAAGGACACGGGAGGCCATGCCTCGGAGACGAAGCAGGGAGGGGTGACCAAGGCGGTGGTGCCAGAGGAGAGTCTCGTGAGACAGGAGGCGACACGAACAGGGGGCAGACTCAGGACCAGACCTGGACGCTGCAGCAAACACCTGACCCGACGCAGCTACCTGACCAGACGCAGTGACTGGAGGAGACGCAGTGGTCAGGGTGTACAGGCTCGACCCCGGCCGACGGGTAAACGTGGCCAGGTGTCGGCCAGTCCGAGCGTCCGTGCAGTGGGTCACCCGCTGACTCGCAGGAGTGAACTGGTGAACCCCCGCATCCTGTAGGTCAGCACCACTCACCAAGTTCGTAGAGAACGAGGGGAGGTAAAGACCAGACAGGGTGCCAGAGGGGGCCGCTGGACACGGGAGGACAGTGGAGAAGTGAGCAAGGACAGGACCCCCAGAGGGGTCTGCCAGAGAGACCGCAACTGGCCGGCCAAGCGGCGTGAGTGTGGTGCGGTCTCGAAAGAAGGAGCGAGAAGCCCCCGAGTCAAGGGTGAAGGTGTGGGAGGTCGAAGCCGACGCAGTACCTGAGAGAGCAGACTCACCAGCACCTGAGGGAGCAGACGCACTAGCACCTAGAGCAGCAGCCTCGCTAGCACCTAGAGCAGCAGCCTCACCAGTACCTAGAGCAGCAGTCTCAATGCCCGGGTCGGGCGGAAAACACCGGTAACAGTCACCCTCATCACTAATAGTCACAGCATACATGGCAGCAAGAATAGCATCAAAGTCAAGGTCAAAGACAGCTACACCCGCCCTAGACAGCTCGCCCCAGCGGGGGATCTCAGTGGCCACAGGGAACTGGTGACGCCAAGCGTCCGTCAGGCGGCCAAAGCAGCGCTGGGTGGAGTGCGCACCCCCGCACTGCTCACTCGCGCGGTCGCCGGTGCGTAGGACGTAGGTGCACGGACCAGTACCCCCACCCCGCTGGCGTGCAGCGTACCACTCACGGAGCTGCTGAGGGAGGGGGATGTCACGAGTGCGCTGCTGCTGCTGCTGCTGCTGCTGCTGCTGCTGGCGCTGACCACCACCGGAGCCGACCCTCTGCGCAGTGCCACCCCGACCAGCTCCACCTCCTCCGCCGCCGCCTCCTCCACCGCCGCCACCTCCACCACCTCCGCTCCCACCGCCACCGCCGCCGCCGCCTCCGCCTCCACTGCCGCCACCGACACCTCCACCCCCGCCACCACTCCCACCACCACCCCCACCCCCTCCACTGCCTCCACCGCCACCTCCGCCACCCCCGCCAGCCCCTCCAGCACCCTTGCCCCCCTTGCCCTTGCCGGTGCGGCGTCTCCCGCTCGGGGAAGACGCAGCGCCGACCAACTCGAAACCAACGAGGTCGGCCGCAGCAGCAGAGGCAACAGAGGGCAAAAGGGGGGAGGGGGAACACCCCTCAAAGACGGGGGTGCGAGGGTCACCAAGAGAGGCTCCTACAGCGACTATGCTCTTCTCTGCTGCTAGGAGGGCCTTCTCGAGGAGGTCAACGGTGAGAGTGGTGGGGCAAACTGAGAGGAAGTGGTCCCTGACTACGCGAAGGGAGTCAGGGAGCCGGGTGACTATGTAGTAGAGGGTGATGTACATGGGGGGGGGGTTCTTGGCGCAGAACTCAGCAGGAAGCGCAGCGCGGTAGCGAGTGTCACTAGTGCGGAGGTGCGTAATGAGGTCAGCGACTGTGGGAAAGGCAGCAAGGTCAGGGAAGAGGTACGGTAGCATGAGGCGGCTCAGTGCAGCAGTGGCAGGGGAGGAGTAGCGCGCAACTACAGCGTCGTACAAGGTCTGAGCACTCTTGTACTGGCTAAAGTGCGCACGCTCAGAGGTAGGCAGGTGGCGACGCACAGCAAGACGTGCAGCAGCATCGCGTGTGGCCCACTGTGAGCGAACAGTGGCGTCGGCATCAGCAGCAGGGGCAGGAGAGGCACCAGAGGTGAGGTCAAAGAGGGAGAGACCGTCTGCCCTATCGCACTGTAGGAAAAGCTGCAGGTCATCTACCCAGACGTCAAAGTCAATGGCCCGACCCTCAGCGTCAAAAGCGAGGACACTAGGGGTAGCCATGACAGCAGTAGACTAGCAGCGCGAACAGTAGGGTAAGGGCAGTGCAGTGACAGAGGCGCTGCTCTTACCGGACAGGGCGGCTCGGCGGCTCGGCGGCTCGGCAACTCGGCGGCTCGGGCGGCTCGGGCGGCTCGGCGGTACGGCGGCTCGGCAGCAACTGCGGCTCGGCGACTCGGCGGCTCGGGCGGCTCGGGCGGCTCGGCGGTACGGCGGCTCGGCAGCAACTGCAGCTCGGCGGCTCGGCGACCCGGCGGCTCGGGCGGCTCAGGTGGCGCGGCGGCTCGGGCGGCTCGGGTGGATCGGGCGGCTCGGCAGCAGCTCGGCGGCGCCGGCGGCTCGGTGGTGACGGCGGGGCCGCGTGGGGACGGCGGCGGGGCCGGGTGGAGCGGCGGCGGGGCCGGGTGGAGCGGCGTCGGGGCCGGGTGGAGCGGCGTCGGGGCCAGTAGAGGCGGCGCCGGGGCCGGGAAGGGCAGCTCCGGGGCCGCAGGGGTAGGCGACGGGACCAGCAGAGGCGGCGCCGAGGCAGGGAAGGGCGGCGCCGGGGCCGCAGGGGTAGGCGACGGGGCCGCTAGGGCGGCTAGGAGGGGGGGGTCGCGAGGGCGGCTTGAAGAGGCCGCGAGGGCGGCTAGAAAGGGCCGCGAGGGCGGCGTGAAAGGGCCGCGAGGGCGGCGCGACGCGACGGGGCCGCGAGGGCGGCGGATCGGGGCCGCGAGGGCGGCGCGACGCGGCCGCTAGGGCGGCGCGACGTGAAGGGGCCGCAAGGGCGACGCGACGGGGCCGCAAGCGCGACGCGACGGGGCCGCTAAGGCGGCGCGACAGGGTCGAGAGAGGGGAGCGCGACTCGGGCAGTCTAGAGCGCGCTCCGGGCAGGAAAAAAAAGGTGGTGGGCCCTAGGAACAGTTCCCACAGGGGAACCTGCTCGATACCATGAGAAACTGAACGAGAATGAATTGACTAAGGGAAAGTTGGGTACAAATGCAAACCCTAGACAACTGTACCCTATATGTGCTACCCCACTATAGCCTACAGTAGCTATGTCATATAAATCTGACATGATTAGCTCGTATAGTGACAAGATGTCGAACTTGTTCCATGCCCAGACTTTCTCAACAGATACCAGTGCTCGTAGCAGGTGGCGTTTTCAGCTGCCTAGGCTCTCAATCACCTGCCAGCAGAACATCAATACACCTGCCGAGCGCCGCCGATCACCTGCCCAACCGTGCCTTTCACCTGCCCAAATGTGGTGCTCACCTGCCCTTTGGCGCCAATCACCTGCGCTTGTAGGAGCTTCAGTCTATTGGCCCAGTTTAACTACTACTTAAGTCACACCTCGCTGGGCAGTATTATCATATCCATCCGTCTCCTAGTTCCTATCTCTCTCGGTACGGTCTTCACCACCTCCAGAACTATGGCCTCCGTCCTTGCTGTCCGTAGCGAGGTGACAGGCAAGCGCCCCATAAAGTTGACCCCGAATATGCAGGGAGCTGGGGGTCTTGGTACCCGCTTGAGTGGCGGTGTCAAGAAGCGCAAGGCTGTTGGCGGCCGACTGATCCCGAAAGCGCGCAAGGATGGCGCTTCTGAGCACGTCGATGACAACGATGATGTCGACGATGTTGCGGGCAACACCGGCATTGACAACGCCTCTGCTGCCGCAGCTGACCCGTCTAGCGGTGCTGGTGATGCCGCTCCCTTGGGGGTCCAAGTCCATGCTGACGACTTCAGTGATGAGGAGCATGATGAGGAAGAGGAACGCACGAAGCTGCAGACGGAAAAGCAAGGTAAGAGCTCTTGAAATTTTCTTGACCATTTCTTTGAACTTGTGTTGTGCTTGTATTCCAGATCTTTTGTTGTGCTTGTATCCCAGTTTTAACCGTAACGCTCATCTCCTGTGCCGCAGGGGACGGGCGACAGGACACGCTGAACAACATCACCGAGCGTGATGGGGCGTCGCTTCCCTCTCAAAGTCCTGCTGGGAGCCCAATGGAGGGTGTTGCCGCGGCATCTGACCAGGCTGCTAACGGGCGGCTTGCTGAGTTGGAGCGAACCACACAGCAGCAGTCACTGCTGATTTCGTCGCTTTTGTTGCAACTTAACAACGGGTCCTGCTCCCTGGAGAGGGGTGCGATGGGTCCTGCCTCGGGGTCTCCAAGCACCAATGGAACGCCGCGATCAGCACCAACGTCGCAGCGAGCTCATGTCGCCACACCCGAACGCGAAATGCTGCAGCGCCCGACATCCAACCGTGCTTCCCCTGCTGTGCCGCGGAAGCGGAAGTATCCAACGATGAAGAACAACGGTAACGTGTGCGACGTAGTCCTGCACACGTCACTCAGCGGTATCCCGTTGAGGGACCAGATCCTCATGCGCCAGTTGCCTGCCTATGGCAAGGCATGGAACGTAAGTGCCATATCGAAAGTGTGGAATGGGGGTTGGTGGGTTGTGTTTGTGTGGGTTATGGCTAAGGGGCATTGCTGTTTGTTCATCCCCTCTTCACCCTTTCCTCACGCCCCTCCTTTTCTGGCCTTGTTCTGTTTTTAGTCGACCTGTTCTTCTCGCATGCTGATTTGCCACGTTTCCAAGTTTCAAAATCTGCCTATTCTTTTCCGAATTCCCATGTACCAGAAAAAAATGGAGCTTGCTGTGGTTGTGGCGTTTTTTCGTCAACCAGACGACGTTACGAGCGTGTACCCGTCGTGGTGATGCGGTGCCTCATCGGTGTTTGGGGCGAGAGCAAGGCTGCCGCGCTGGTAGCAGTCATGACGTACTGCGTGGCGCGGGCAGGCGCTTCAACGCGCAAGCAGAGTGATTGGCGTGCGCGGATCTCGATGAATGGGCGCCGGAATTTTGCTGACGCTTTTGGGCTCCCTTGCGAGGCGAATCCCCGCCTGAAATTCGACTACAGCGAGCTAGTTTGTGACGAGGAGCGCACACCGACCCAAGTGTACAACTTGGAGAGCGAGGGTGGTATACCACTGGTCAAGCCTCTTGGTAAGTGCAGTTCGTGAGCATTGGTAACCACAGCTGTTACGCATGGTGCTGTATACGTCTTATGTTCTTGGCATACCATTGGTCATGAAAGTACCCACCTTTCCATATAACTTATGACTGCATGTCGGTTTCCATTGTTTAAATATCTATGTGCTGAGCAGAAAAGGGAGGGCTTCTTCGCTGGCACTTTGCTGAAGACACGATGCGCCCGTTTGGCACTGCGCTCTTCGACATCATCGTCCGCAACGCATTTCAGAAGGGTGCTGGCGGGTCGGCTACGGTGGTGAAGGCGTACCACATCGCCTATCTGCTGTATCTGGTACGTACGAGTGTGATTTTTTACGTTTGCACATGTGCTAGCACTTTGTTTCTTGTGTTGTATTGTAGCTGTAAGATTGGTTGCTTTGAAGATTGCCTTGCATAGCCAGTTGGTCGCCCCATCTTCCCTCCAACCATCTTCCCTCCAACCATCTTCCCTCCGACCCTCCCGTCAACCAATCACACCCTTCCCTATTTCCCCTGCCACCCTGCCCATTTCCTGCCATACTGGCAGAAGCTTGTAGGGCGTTGATTCCATGCCCAGCGTGTTTCACTCCATACTTCATGCATCAACCGTTCTCCCATGTTGCCCCTCTCCACTCCAACCACCCCTTCCGCTGGCAAGAGCATAGAGGGGCTTACTTTCGTGCCCGTCTTGTCGCTCGGTGCGCCTCGCACACTCTGCCTAATGCTGTCCATCCCTTTCCCTGCTCACCACCCCTCAGGAACGTGGGGTGGAGGTGTCATCGCATGCCTTTTGTGCTCTATCACCTCCCACCTGCCTGCCATGTCCAGTTTGCCTAACACTACCCTTCCCCTTTAATCCGCACTCCCCCGTTGTAACAGGTTGAATATTCAGTGGTGCACCACAAGGCTCGTGGCAAACGCATTCCTACGGATGCGGATGTGAATGCAGCTGACATTGCCAGCTACCACCGCAAGGTGAAGGCGGCCATTCGCAAGACCCTCGAAGAGTCCCCGGATGACCAGCTTCCTGCATGGTCGGAGCAGTATCAGGGGTGGGTGTTTGGACCCACTGAGACCGTGGTGATCTCGGGCAGCGGCTTCCCCGACCTCGTTCCCGATGGGGCTGACCCCGATGCCGCCGAGAAGAAGGCGGTTGCTCTCCTGTTCGAGTATGCCCAGGTGGAGCCCGAGAAAGGCAAGAAGAAGAAGACGGGTTCCAACAACAGTGATGCCACCATGGAGCGTGATCTCCTGGATGATGTGGGTGAGTGGGAGGATGCGGAGGATAGTGTGTAGAGGTGGATGATGTGGGTGGGCGAATTGGTGCCATGCTGAGATCTGTTGTATTATATAGCTTATGTATTATATATATTTGGGAAATGGACAAATGGTTACTTTTGGGATACAAACATCTGGGTCACTTTCAGCAAGAAATTGGAGCCCCAAATTTGTTTAGTTTCCATACCATTGGTCAGGCAAATGTATGATTTTTTAACAGAAAATGCATGACTAACGGGAGGCGGTTTCATGATGTTGGGAAAGCAAATGTAATATAAGTGACATGTTAATGAGGTACATCTACTAACTAAATAGTTAGTCCTTTTCGTATGGAAATGGACCCTAATAAAAAGGTACGACAACTTCTACTTTATAGTAGGCCTAATCACCCCTCCTAAATACATACCAAGGAGTAAAGAAAAGGTAGGTAAAAGGTATGTATAATCAATAGGGATTTTTGAGATGTCCTCCATAAGTGCAGCATGAAACGAACCATTTTTTATTCGACTTGTTTTACCAATAAGTTCTCGCTCTTACTAACGTCATCATCGTCGCCGTCACGTGTGGCGTCACGTCTTGAGCCGCTGCGAAACCATCTAAATCGGCGAAGTCGCCGCGTCTTAGAAGCTTGCCATAGCTGTACTGTCTCTGTGAGTCGTCAACGAGCCGCGCGCCGTCATCATGTTGACCGACGCCGATCCCGCCATCGTCTTGCTTCCGGACGGCACGATCCGCCTAATCACGCCGCATCTCGCGGCGTCAACGGAAGATTTGCCGCCGCCGCCGCCGCCGACGGCCGACTACCAATCCCGTTCGACGGACGGCGGCAAGCGCACCAGGGGAAGGAGCGACGGGCTCAGGCTGAGCCCCCCGCTAACTCCGCGTGCGGGGACACGGTACGCGGACTCTGAAGACGCGCGCGCGCATACCGAGTGGGCGCAAACCTACCCCCGCTGCGCGTCGCTGCAGTCTCCGCGGACTCCCGGTATCTTGACCGCGGCGGACGTGCTCCGCGAGTTCCCCCGCCACTACCTCGCGCTCTCCCCCGCCGCTCCCCCCGACGGCGTCTCTGCAGACCCCCGGTCGGAGTCCGGCGGAGACCACATTCCGCTTCCCGCCTGGCGCCCGCTGGTCCCCGGCGCGACCTACCAGGTCGTTCCGCACACGTTGTGCCAAAAGGGGGGATGTGCGTCGTCGCGCTCGCTGCTGCGCACGTTCGCGTCGTGCCCCGAAAGATTTGACTCCGCGACTCACGGCGACGGGAACGGCAGAGGAGTTATTTCCCTCGGAAAAAATACGGCAGTTTCTAGGAGGAGTGCGTTAAGTACTGATGACACTACGTCACCAGAGGGATGCTCTACGTCCAGCCGTAATCACGGCGACACTAACTACTCCCCAAGCTCTACGCGTTACAATCTCCATTACGACAACCCTCCTCGCAACTGGTCGCAAGGGGATACGATAAGCCGTTCCGTGAGCTATTCCGGTCCGCACGCGACGGACGTGCCACCACTCTCCTACACAACGTGCGATTCGCCTTCGGGATTACGGCAGGAGAGAGGAACCCCAGAACTAGCCGACGTTGGCGTGAACAACGGAGTCGGTTCGCGCGTCACGGGCGATGCACCATCCCCGTTATTATTGGCATCCTCGTCAATGAGATTTACGCCCTCTACATCTACTGGTTCTGGTTCTAGAAGGCTTCTACGGAAGGTGAAACTTTCTGCTTTATGCAAGTGGTTTTACGGAAGCAGCTGCAGCGGTAACGACACCAGTGGCGATTGTTGTAAAGTCAGGCAAAACAACGTTCTCGAGTGGAATGAGAGCTCAAATGTTCTCAGTATTACTTCTGAGTCGGCTCTAAACGGCTACGGCTGTAGCTGCTGCTGCAACGCCATCAGCAGCAGCAACACTGCCAGCACTATCAGCAGAAGCAGCACAACCAGCAGCATCAGCAACACTCCCAGGAGAACCAGCACCAGCGGCAGCAGCACGTCAACGAGAGGACACATCGGGAATACCGAGAGAAACAAGAGAAGGAATCTCGAATTGCACCCGCAGCCTGGTTGTTGCTCGGGAATTATGAGGTCTTCGAGCCTCGTTCCGGAGGAACCGTTTTCTCGAATCGAGCTTTGCTCGACTGCGGATGCTTGTATGGAGGATATGTGCCGTGCAGCAATGATGCTGGAGCTTGCTTTAAAGAGGACGGAAGACTATGAGGTGTAGACAAACCCTGCTTATCTTCAATCAGGGTTTTTCTGCAAGGGAAGGCAGTGTGGCGCGATATTTAATGCTGGAGCTGCTGATTAGATAAAGGGGGGTGGTGGTGGCGGAGGGAGGGGGAGGGGTGGTGGTGGGGTGGAGGGATAGGAAGGTGTCTAAAAAGAGTCCCCCCCCCCCCTTTTTTTCTGCCATCGGTGTAGTATACTTGAGTATGAATCAGAACCTGTGGCTTATAACTGCCATCCATTTGAGTCCAGTTCCATCGTAATTTGAACTACCTACGTGCAGCAGAAACGGGATGGATTGTGAAGGCAAGGGGAGGGAGTGAAAGAAATCAAAGGATATGTATGTTCTAGAAAGCTAGAGAAGCCCTTTGTTAGTACAGTATGGTCCACAGAGCAGCTTGTATCGCTACCAGCACGTGCCTGATAAGATTGACACGTAGTCTTGTTGATGGTTACTGTATTGCAGGAGGAGCAGTCGATCAGCCCAAGAGCAGTCCAGCAGAGTAATCATCGTTGGTGAGAAACAACTTATTTATCTACACTGCACTGTAGTTCACAAGCTATGATTGGCCTATTATTTGGGAGGTTGCCTTTCCACCACGAAGATATTCCCCTTATCGTCACGCCCTATACGCAGAGTGTCATCCACATACCTGTGTGACAATAAAGGGGGGTGAACATGAGGTCATAGAGAGCAATCTGTGCAAGGCATTGAAATGACAACCCCCTTGCATGCAGTCCTCTTGCATGTAACCCCCTTGCATGTAACCCCCTTGCATGCGGTTCCTTCCCCCCCTCTCCCCCCCATTTCTTCCCCACTCCCCCCCCTTTCCCCCCATCTCCCCCCCTCCATTCCCCCCATCTCCCCCCCTCCATTCCCCCCATCTCCCCCCTTCCCCTTGCATGTGTGTCGACAAAGAAAAATTAAGTCGAAAGCAAGTTCATGGAAAATGCACTCAACCATTTCTTTGTGAGCACTCTCGTATTTCAAACACGAATATGTGCCACTGCGTGTGTGTGTGCGCGCACGTGCACGCGCGCCGTGTGTGTGTGTGTGGGTATGTATGTGAATAGTACATGTGTGTCAACTCAACTGTGTATGCGTACATACGTACACACCGCTTCTTGAGTCACGAGGTACACAGAACGCCACTCGCAACCACCAGAAAGACTTACGTTATTTCGAGCCATCCATCCGGGTTGAAAATCCGCAGAAGCAGGTCATAGTTCTTCTCAAACAGCTTGTTCAGCTGGGGGGAAGAGGAGGGGGGAGAGGGGGAGAGGGGCGGGGAAGAGAGCGGGAAAGGGATTACATGTGGGGCAACTAGGATCATAGTTCTTCTCAAACAGCTTTTTCAACTGTGAAAGGGTTGAAGGAAGGGGGGACGCAATTCTCAGAAAGGGAAAAGGAGGGAATTCTCAGAAGAAATTTCTCAAAAGAAGGTGATGTGGTTCTTGTCAAACAGCTAGCTCGGGTTGCTGGTACGGTGCTGGAGCTAATTTTGAGATGCCTCAAAAACCACCGGGAAGAAATGCACCAAAGAAGAACCCCGCCTGATCTGATGCTGGAGCTCTCAGATTTGATGTAATGAGTCGAGTTTTGAGTCGACTCAAAACTCAACCCCGCCTAATCTGATGCTGGAGCTCTCAGATTTGATGTCCATCCGCTGCAGTGGAGAGAAACAGAGGGGCAGGCTGATTTTTGAGTCGGCTAAAAAAAAACCTCACCTGGGAGAATCCCCCACCTGGTCGGGTACGATGCTGGAGCTCTCGAATTTGATGTCCACCCGCTGCAGCAGAGCGAGGAGAGCAGAGAGGGAGTTAGAAGGGCAGGGTTTGCACAGGGGAAAGTGGGCGGAGGGAAGGAGGGGAGGAGGGAAGGAGGGGAGGAGGGAAGGAGGGATGGAAGAAAGGAGCTCTCAAATTTGATGTCCACCCGCTGCAGCAGAGCGAGGAGAGCAGAGAGGGAGTTAGAAGGGCAGGGTTTGCACAGGGGAAAGTGGGCGGAGGGAAGGAGGGGAGGAGGGAAGGAGGGGAGGAGGGAAGGAGGGGAGGAGGGAAGGAGGGATGGAAGAAAGGAGCTCTCAAATTTGATGTCCACCCGCTGCAGCAGAGCGAGGAGAGCAGAGAGGGAGTTAGAAGGGCAGGGTTTGCACAGGGGAAAGTGGGCGGAGGGAAGGAGGGGAGGAGGGAAGGAGGGGAGGAGGGAAGGAGGGATGGAAGAAAGGAGCTCTCAAATTTGATGTCCACCCGCTGCAGCAGAGCAAGGAGAGCAGAGAGGGAGTTAGAAGGGCAGGGTTTGCACAGGGGAAAGTGGGCGGAGGGAAGGAGGGGAGGAGGGAAGGAGGGGAGGAGGGAAGGAGGGGAGGAGGGAAGGAGGGATGGAAGAAAGGAGCTCTCAAATTTGATGTCCACCCGCTGCAGCAGAGCGAGGAGAGCAGAGAGGGAGTTAGAAGGGCAGGGTTTTGCAAAGGGAGAAATGGGCAGAGGATAGGAGGGAAGGAGCTCTAGAATACAATGTCAACACGCTGAAGCACAGCTATAGAAGAGGGACGAGAATATAGAGCAGAGAGCAAGTTAGGAGGGCAGGATTTGCACAGGGGATTGTGGGCAGAGGGAAGGAGGGAAAGAGGGAAGGAAGGAGGGAAGGAGGGAAGGAGGGAAGGGGGGAAGGTAGGAAAGTGGGAAAGAGGGAAGAAGGGAAGGTAGGAAAGAGGGAAGGAGGGAAGGAGCGAGGAGAAAAGAAAGGAAGAAAGGAAGGATCAATGGGATCAACTGCATCTTAGCCCGCAGCTTGACAAAAGAGGCTGGCACTATACCATGCGTAGGTGGCAACTTGACATTAGGCGCATCATGCTCTTACTGTGGGAGACGCGATGGTATAGGTGGCTTCGATGGTGAGTTTCCCTGACAGCAGCCCCAGGCCCCTCACTGCAAACTCCACCACGTTGGCTGCTCGCCTCTATGGAGGGGGGGTTGCAGGGTGGGGATAGGGGGAAAAAGGGGGATGAGTGGCTTCAATGGTGATCTTCACCTGACAGCAGCCCCAGGCCCCTCACTGCAAACTCCACCACGTTGGCTGCTCGCCTCTGGGGGGTTGAGGCAGGGGGGATGGGAAGGATGCGGAGGCAGAACGGAATAAGGGGGTAGGTGGTTTCAATGCCCCAACAGCAGCCCCAACCCCCTCACTGCAAAGCAAACTCCACCACGTTGGCTGCTCGCCTCTATGGGGGGGGATGGGAGAAGGGGGGGAGATTGGAGAGGAAATAGGGAGGAAGGGATAGGGGACGGGATAGGGAGGAGGCTGTTTGTGTTGGGAGCAGGTGGCCTCAATCGTGAGCTTCCCCGACAGCAACCCCAACCCCCTTACTGCAAACTCCGCCACGTTGGCTGCTCGCCTCTGGGGGGTTGGGAGAAAGAGGGGAGATGGGCGAGGCAGTGGGGGAGAGGGGATAGGGAGGAGGCTGTTCGTGTTGACAGCAGCCCCAGACCCCTCACTGAGAACTCAAACTAAGAAAACGGGTAGAAAGCTGCAAGCTCGGTTCGACCGACCTGACTAATCTGATCAAAGCACTGAGTAGTACACTGCACACTGCAAGCCCCAGGCCCCCCACTGCAAACTCCACCACATCAACTATCTGAAGAAAATCTCCCAAAGAAATGAAATTCTTCAGGCTCAGGCCCAGCTTGGTGAATCCTCAGAACCAACGAGCTTTGACAGTCACACTCACCGTGTCCTTGTCTACAATCTGAAGCAAGTCCCCCAGAGAAATGAAATCTCTCAGGCCCAGCTTGGTGTATCCCTCACTTCAAAAGAGCAGCAAGGGAGATAGACCTTACCGTATCCTTGTCAACTATCTGAAGCAAGTCCCCCAGAGAAATGAAATCTCTGAGGCCCGGCTTGGCTAATCCCACTCCACGCCTTTTGAGGCGCCTCAAAAGCACGGGAGAAATGAAAGAGCAGCACGGGAGAACGAGAGGTCTTACCGTATCCTTGTCAACAATCTGAAGAAAGTCCCCCAGAGAAATGAAGTCCCTCAGGCCCAGCTTGGTGCGTTTGGATCCGAGGATGGCGATGGTGCTGTATAGCAGCCGCCACTCTCCCGTGATCTGGTTGTTGAAGGGGGAGTGGGGAACGAATGACAGGGGAGGGGAGGCTGGGGAGAAGAGGGAAGATGGGCCCAGCTTGGTGCGCTTGGATCCGAGGATGGCGATGGTGCTGTATAGCAGCCGCCACTTTCCCGTGATCTGGTTGTTGAAGGGGGAGTGGGGAACGAATGACAGGGGAGGGGAGGCTGGGGAGAAGAGGGAAGATGGGCCCAGCTTGGTGCGCTTGGATCCGAGGATGGCGATGGTGCTGTATAGCAGCCGCCACTCGCCCGTGATCTGGAAGGAAGGGGGGGAGGGGGAGGGCAGAAAGGGCGGAGGTGGGGACAGTAAAGGAGAGGTAAGAGTGTCTCTGAGGCCCAGCTTGGTGCGCTTGGATCCGAGGATGGCGATGGTGCTGTATAGCAGCCGCCACTCGCCTGTGATTTGGTTGTTAGAGGGGAACGGCAGAAAGGGCGGGAGTGGGGACAGTGAAGGATATGTAAGTCAATCTCTCAGGCCCAGCTTGGTGCGCTTGGAGCCGAGAATGGCGATGGTGCTGTAGAGGAATCGAGTCGCACGTATGCTCTCTCTCTCACCTCATCTATGTGCTCCGTGGGAGCAGGTCGCGGGTTCAATTCCTCCAGCCGCCCAATTGCGAATAAGCCCGCTTGATTTATGTCCTGGCACGTTCACTCTCTCACCTCATCTATGTGCTCAGTGGGGGCAGGTCGCGGGTTCAATTCCTCCAGCCGCCCAATTGCGAATAAGCCCGCTTGATTTATGTCCTGGCACGTTCACTCTCTCACCTCATCTATGTGCTCAGTGGGGGCAGGTCGCGGGTTCAATTCCTCCAGGCACTCAATTATTGCGTGCAGATCAGCCCGCTTGGCGGATGGCATGCCAAAGATACCGCGGTTGAGGCCTGAATAGGGTGAAAGGGGGAGTCGGGGAAAAGGGAGGTGGGGTGGGAATGGGGGGAGGTCGTGGGTTCAATTCCTCCAGGCGCTCAATTATCGCGTGCAACTAAGCCCTTTTGGCCAATGGCATGCCAAAGATACCGTGGTTGAGGCCTGCGCGGGGAGAATAGGGGGGAAGCGGGGGGCGGGGGGAAGGCGGGGGGAGTGCATGGGAGGGGGAGGAACGGGGGGCTTGAGGGGAGGGGAAGGGGAAGGGCTTGATGGCATGCCAAAGATGCCCCGGTTGAGGCCTGGGGGGGAGACGAGGGGAGGCGGGGGGGTGAGAAAAGGGGAGAAGGAACAGGAGGGCGGGGAAAGGGATGGGATCGAGGAAGGGGCGAGGGAAGGTACGGCGGAAGATTGAGGAGTATGGGGGGAGATTGAGGAGTATGGGGGGAGTTTGAGGGGTATGAGGGGAACACTGAGGGGTATGGGGGGATCATCGAGGGGTATAGAGGGATATGTAATGTATGGGGGGAAAATGAGGGGTATGGCCCATGGGGGGGAAATGAGGGGTATGGCCCATGGGGGGGAAGTGAGGGGTATGGGAGGATCATTGAGGGATATGAGGGGAACACTGAGGGGTATGGGGGGAACATTGAGGGGTATGGGGGGAACATTGAGGGGTATGGGGGGAACACTGAGGGGTATGGGGGGAACATTGAGGGGTATGGGGGGAACATTGAGGGGTATGGGGGGAACATTGAGGGGTATGGGGGGAAATGTAAGGTATGGGGGGGAAATGAGGGTTATGGGGGAAAACTGAGGGTTATGGGGGGAAAACGAGGGGTATGGGGGGGGGAATCAGAGGTATGGGGGGGAGGGAACGAGGGGTATGGGGGGAAAAATGAGGGGTACGAGGGGAGATTAGAGGGTAAGGGGGCATATTGAGAGGCATGGCAGGAAAACGCGGGGTGCTGGGGGAACATCAAGCACATAATTACACCTCCTACATTCTCAACTCAGGAGCTAAGAACTCGTGATTCGTCTGAGTTAAACCTGCCGCTTCCTAGGGCCGACAATTGGTCGGCCTAACTAGTAGCTGCTTCTCATGTGAATCCCTCGTAGGAATTTTATGATAAAAGAGGTTTTAAATTTTAACTCGCACCTTCTAGACCGGAGTAAAGCGCGGCCTTTAGCGACGGAGCGTCGCTAGGCAGAGAATGCGCCTCGGTAGCAGCAGCAGCACCAGCAGCAGCCTCGGTAGCAGCAGCCTCGACATTGTCCCCGGAAGACGCGGCGGTGGAAACGCGACCTCGTGCAAGCGGCGCGTGACTGACCCAGCATCGATTGTGCCGCGCCTCGGGGTTGAAGTCGTGACGCGCCGGGTCCCACGTGCTGGTTCGTCTGGGGCATGCCGAAGCAGCTGTAGCTTGCCGAGCCTGTCCGCCTACCCGAACCTGCGTGTCTAACCGAGCCTGATTGATTACCCGAGCCTCTCGTCCTACGGACCGGGTACTCTGGGGAATAGAAACGCTAACGGGAGAGCTCACCCGTAATGCCATTGTGTGATGCCGTGACGGTGTGTGGTGCTGACACATGGAGCTTGCAGGGACAGGAAGGTATCGTCTAATTATAATATAATTTAGATTTGTTTGCGTGCTCATGTCTGGATGGTGTAGTCGGTTATCACGCCAGTCTCACACACTGGAGGTCTCCGGTTCGATTCCGGGTTCAGACAATGTTTTTGCCCTGCGTCGCACTTGCATGTGGTGTTGCCTAGGTTTTGGTCTCCTGTAGACAATGCATCGTTTGCATTGACATCTGCAACACTGCTGGCCAATGTCAAAGGGACCCCCTCCAACAGCACACACGATCTTCAGGCAGAGACACCCTAGAAGCCAAAGCCTGTCAGAACGTTATAGCATATACTTTTGTGTAGGCTGTTGTGGGGTATCCCATAGGGGGTACAACCCAATTAGGGTTAGTACTTGTACCCACTTCATTCATAGTTCATTCACTCTTGTTTCTTCTCATGGTATCGAGCAGGTTCCCTAGTGGGAACTGATCCTAGGGCCCACCATCGAAAATTTTTCTTTTCTGCCCGAAGCGCGCTCCGCTTAGGCCCGAGTCGCGCCTCGGGTCCTCTCTCTACCGTCGCGGCCTCCCTCGAGCCGCCCTTGCTCGGCCGTCGCCGCCCTTAGCGGCCCGTCGCCACCCTACGCGGCCCGCCCGCCGCCCTTTTGACGCCCGCCCCGGCCACGTGAGCCGCCCGTCCCGTGCGACGCGGCCCCTGCGCCGCCTGTCCCGGCCCGTCGCCACCTGACGCGGCCCGACGCGGCCCGTGCGCCGCCTGTCCCGGCCCGTCGCCGCTCGTCTCGGCCCGTCGCCGCCCGTCGCGGCCCGTGCGCCGCCTCCCCCGGCCCGTCGCCGCTCGTTGTGGCCCGTGCGCCGCCTGTCCCGGCCCGTCGCCGCCTGGCTCGTCGCCGCCCTACCCTACCTGCGGCCCCGCCGCCCTACCTAGCGGCCCCGCCGCCCTACCTAGCGGCCCCGCTGCCTCACTCGGCGGCCCCGCCACCCTACCTGCGGCCCCGCCACCTCGCTCTCGGCCCCGTCACCTGCTGCAGCGCCGCCCGCCACCCTAGCCGCCCGAGCCGTCTCACCCGGCCGAGCAGCTGACCGCCGTGCCGCCCTTCAGCAGCACAACCGAGCCGCCCAGCAGCCGAGCCGCCCGGCAGCCGAGCCGCCCTGCAGCCGAGCCGCCCAGCAACCGAGCCGCCCAGCAGCCGAGCCGCCCAGCAGCCGAGCCGCCCAGCAGCCGAGCCGCCCAGCAGCCGAGCCGCCCAGCAGCGGAGCCGCCGACCCGCCGAGCCGCCCAGCAGCTGAGCCGCCGAGCCGCCGCGCCGCCCTCCTTCCGGGCCGCCCGACCTGCCCAGTCTGGTGAGCACAGCGCCTTTTCACTGCACTGCCCTCACCCTACTGTTTGCGCTGCTAGTCGTCTCGGGTCATGGCTACCCCTAGTGTTCTCGTCTTTGACGGTGAGGGTCGGGCCATTGACTTTGAGGTCTGGGTAGATGACCTGCAGCTGTTCTTACAGTGCGATAGGGCAGACGGCCTCTCTCTCTTTGACCTCACCTCTGGCGCCTCCACTGCCCCTGCTGCTGATGCTGACGCCACTGTTCGCTCCCAGTGGGCCACGCGCGACGCTGCTGCACGTCTTGCTGTGCGTCGCCACCTCCCTACCTCCGAGCGTGCGCACTTTAGTCAGTACAAGAGTGCTCAGACCTTGTACGACGCTGTAGTTGCGCGCTACTCCTCCCCTGCCACTGCTGCACTGAGCCGTCTCATGCTACCGTACCTCTTTCCTGACCTTGCTGCCTTTCCCACAGTCGCTGACCTCATTACGCACCTCCGCACTAGTGACACTCGCTACCGCGCTGCACTCCCTCCTGACTTCTGCGCCAAGAACCCCCCCCCCCATGTACATCACTCTTTACTACATAGTCACTCGCCTTCCTGACTCCCTTCGCGTAGTCAGGGACCACTTTCTCTCTGTCTGTCCCACCACTCTCACTGTTGACCTCCTCGAGAAGTCCCTCCTAGCGGCCGAGAAGAGCATAGTCGCTGTAGGGGCCTCTCGTGGTGACCCGCGCACCCCCATCTTTGAGGGGTGTTCCCCCTCCCCCCTTCTGCCCTCTGTTGCCTCTGCTGCTGCGGCCGACCTCCTTGGTCTTGAGTCGGTCGGTGTGGCGTCTGCCCCTAGCGGGAGACGCCGCTCTGGCAAGGGCAAGGGGGGCAAGGGCGCTGGAGGAGCGAGCGGGGGCGGTGGAGGTGGAGGTGGCGGCAGTGGGGGGAGTGGGGGTGGCGGTGGGAGTGGAGGTGGGGGTGGAGGGGTCGGTGGCGGCAGTGGAGGCGGAGGTGGCGGCGGCGGTGGCGGTGGGAGCGGAGGTGGCGGAGGAGGCGGCGGTGGAGGCGGAGGCGGCGGCAGTAGCGGAGGCGGCGGAGGCGGCGGAGGCGGCGGGGGTGGCGGTGGTGCTGGTCGCGGGTCTTCGCAGAGGAGTGGCTCCGGTGGTGGCTCGCGCCAGCACCAGCAGCGTGGTCGTGACACCCTGTCCCCTCAGCAGCTTCGTGAGTGGTACACTGCGCGTCAGCGGGGTGGGGGTTTTGGTCCGTGCTCCTACGTTTTGCGCACCGGCGACCGTGCGGGTGAGCAGTGTGGGGGTGCCCACCCCACCCAGCGCTGCTTTGGCCGCCTGACGGACGCGTGGCGTCACCAGTTCCCGGAGGCCTCAGAGATCCCTCGCTGGGGCGAGCTGTCCAGGGCGGGTGTTGCCATCTATGATCTTGACTTTGATGCTATTCTCTCTGCCATGTATGCTGTGTCTATTAGTGATGAGGGTGACTGTTACCGGTGTTTCCCGCCCGATCCGGGCATTGAGACTGCTGCGCTAGGTCCTGGTGAGGCTGCTGCCCTAGGTGCTTGCGACGCTGCTGCTCTAGGTGCCCGTGTGTCTGCGTCCTCAGGTACTGGTGAGTCTGCGCTCTCAGGTACTACGTCGGCTTCGGCCTCCCTCACCTTCACCCTTGACTCTGGGGCGTCTCGCTCCTTCTTTCGGGACTGCACCACACTCACACCGCTGAGTCGGCCGGTTGCAGTGTCTCTGGCTGACCCCTCTGGGGGTCCTGTCCTGTCTCGCTTCTCCACAGTCCTCCCGTGTCCGGCGGCTCCCTCTGGCACCCTGTCTGGTCTCTACCTCCCCTCGTTCTCTACGAACCTGGTGAGTGGTGCTGACCTCCAGGATGCGGGTGTACACCAGTTCACTCCTGCGCGTCAGCGGGTGACGCACTGTACAGAGGCTAGCACAGGCCGACACCTGGCTACGTTTACCCGTCAGCCGGGGTCGAGCCTGTACACACTGACCACTGCGTCTCCTCCCGTTACTGAGTCTGGTAGAGTCGCTTCGTCGGGTCGGGTGTTTGCTGGAGCGTCCAGGTCTGGTCCTGAGTCTGCCCCCTGTTCGTGTCGTCTCCTGTCTCACGAGACTCTCCTCTGGCATCACCGTCTTGGTCACCCCTCTCTGCTTCGGCTCAGAGGCATGGCCTCCCGTCTTCTAGTGTCTGGTCTCCCCCGGTCCCTCCCTCCCCTTCCTCAGGGCCCTGGCCCTACCTGTGTCCCCTGTGTCGAGGGGCGCCAGCGTGCTGCCCCTCACTCCTCCCAGTTTCCTCCGACAGAGGCCCCGTTGCAGACGCTTCACATGGACGTGTGGGGCCCAGCCCGCGTCCGTGGGCAGGGTCACGAGCGCTACTTCCTACTCGTTGTTGACGACTACTCGCGTTACACCGCAGTCTTCCCCTTGCGCAGCAAGGGTGATGTCACTGCGGTGCTGATCGACTGGATCCGCGCAGCTCGTCTCCAGCTCAGGCAGAGCTTTGGCTCCGACTTTCCTGTTCTGCGTCTGCACTCGGACAGAGGCGGGGAGTTCTCCTCTGGCCTTCTGCGAGCCTACTGTCGTGCACGAGGCATCCGTCAGACCTTCACGCTTCCGGACTCTCTGCAGCAAAATGGGATTGCTGAGCGCCGCATTGGCATGGTCATGGACGTCGCTCGTACGTCTATGATGCATGCGGCTGCCCCCCATTTTCTGTGGCCGTTTGCGGTGAGGTACGCGGCGCATCAGATCAACCTTCACCCTAGGGTCTCCACGCCGGAGACCTCCCCAGCCTTGCTGTGGACGGGGAAGGTTGGCGATGCGTCGGCGTTCCG